TTGCTAGCTAAACTACAACAATATGGGATTAGAGGGTCAACTTTGAACTGGTTTAAAACTTTTTTGGACGGTCGGCAACAATATGTCAGTACTAAAAACAATGATTCTGACTGTGAAACTATTTCCACAGGGGTACCACAAGGGTCAATCCTAGGCCCTCTTCTTTTTTTAGTTTATATTAATGACATTTCTCGATCATCCCCCCTTTTTTCATTCAGACTATTTGCTGATGACACCAGTCTATTTTATTCCGTAAAAGACCGTTCTGTAAACCTTCACACACTTAATATTGAATTAAATAAAGTTGCTACCTGGTGTAAATCAAATAAATTAACTATAAACATTGACAAAACAAATTTCATGATTTTTCAGACAGCTCAAAGAAAAACAACTATTGAGGGCGTATTATCAATTGATGATTTGTCATTTAGATTGGTATCGTCAGCTGTTTATTTAGGTGTCACGCTTGACTCAACACTTTGTTGGAGACCCCATATCGATAACATTGTTAAAAAAATCAGTAAAACAATTGGGATAATCTCATACTTGAGGCATTATTTACCAAAATCCATTATGATATTACTTTACAACTCGTTGATTCTCCCACACATTGCTTATTGTATAAGAATATGGGGACACACTTTTAGCACATACATATATTGATCCAATTTTTAAATTACAAAAAAAGTTTGTCAGATTAATTTCTTTCTCTCATTTCCGAGCAAGTACCACACCACTTTTCCTGCAACTTGGCATTCATGTGTATAAATTATGTAAGTACAATACATGTCTATTTGCATACGATTTGAAAAATGGCCGCCATGCATACTCTCTGGATCATTATGCCTCTTCAATATCACATCCATACCATACACGATCAGTAACCTCTGAGAAACTTGTCACACCACAAATTAATGTAAGTTCAACTAAGAAAAGTCTGACATTTACTCTTGTAAAACAATGAAATGAGCTCCCAACTTCGTTAAAAACATTAACTTTAAGAAACACGTTCAAAACGGCATTAAAAAAATATCTTTTAACTAATGTATAAATACTTGCAATATTGCAATATATGCATTATTGTTATTATTGTCTATTTTTGTTTTCTTCATTATTATTATTAATGAGAGTTTGTAGTCTCTTTATTTACTTATTTATTTATTTATTTATTTTTAACTTAACAATATAATTTGTTTTGTGTATCACTATTCGCAACAGTAGTTAATAGTTGAGTATGGTTTTGGGGCCAGGGACTAGATTAGTTCTGCTAGAACTACCTCTCTGGTCCCCACCAGAAAAAATATATTATATTTAATATTCATTCAGATAAAGTTCCTGTACAATTGTCTTTTTTTCTGGTGAAATAAATCTATTCTATTCTATTCTATTCTATTCTATTCTATTCTATTCTATTCTATTCCATTCCATTCCATTCCATTCCATTCTATACATCATGTCACTAGGATCGATGATACTCCGCATCACCCCAGCGACGGGGCCCTGACTCAAGGGTATAAAATCCTTGTACCGTTACCGTGCGACGAACCCTGGCTGGCTGAAAGTAGGGGGAAGCGCAATGTGTGCCCTTACCCAAAAGCCCTGCCCAGAAATCGGGAGCTTGGCTGCCAGCATCCCCGTTGGCATTCAGTGTCGGAGGTCCCAGAGGAGACCCGGTGCAACTAGCCTGGGCTGGGAATGGGGGGTTCCCCGGATGAGACATGCTTTGAATGCAAGTGATGCTTTTGTGTTTCTTCCTGCTTCCTGACCAAGGGGTCGCAGTGGAGATAGCTCGCTCCGACAGTCCTTCGACCAAAGCCTTCATCTCGGAGGCAAACCCGACGCCGTGCGAGGACGGATCCACAAAGGGACCCGCAACGGGACCCATAGGAGGAAAGACCTCACTGTAGCCAGTAAAATGGGGTAAACCACCGCCTGAAAACACAGACTGTAAGGATGCCCTCCGATCAGCGGAGGGAGACCGTAAAGTAATGATACCTCCACCATCGGGCCTCCTACTTGACGTACATGAAGTACTGGTAGCCAAGCGTGAGGACTTTTCACTCATGCCAAACACGCAACTCACTTTAACCGATTTTTACTGGACCTTGCTGTGAAAATACGAGCGACGTGGTCAGTCTCAGCGATTTCGCATGGCTCTGAAAAAAACATCCCAGGCATCCAGTGAAAAACACACGCCATCAAGGAAAAAACCCCGAACCTTGCATGCAGCCACTGCAAAAATAGCATTTCAGATGCAGGTTCTATGCTGGTAAATTCTGATTATAACCACTGCACAGTCACCTTGAAAAACAAGGAGACAAAACCGGCGGCGAGCCTCTGGTGCTGTCATTACATCTATCCATTGATAAAGCATAAAATGAACACGACATGCATGAGGGAAGCGTAATACAGTTGGAAAAGGTGACGCAACAAAACCTACAAGTGATTAAGTTATGTTGCCGCGTTTTGTTACTTTGTTGTGAAAAATGCTCAACACACAAAGGGGAAATCAACACAAGGGTAAAAATGACAAGGAAAATTTATCCTACCAGCTACAATGTCAGTTACCGCACCGAGTAACAACCCAAGCCAGAAACCCGGGCAGGAAAAGGCAGGCTATGCAGCCAGAGCCGCTAAAACTTCATCCCCGTCGATGCAGAGATAAATCAAAGAAAGCTTAGAAAGAACTCCCATGTGCTCCCATGTATTGGAGACACATTAAATATAATTCAAAATTACTTGTCAAAGATAGTGATAGTGATGGAAAAGTCGAAAACTAATAATGCAAATCAGAAAATTAATATGAACAGATTTTAATGGAAAACTAATGAGGTCTGCGCAATGTAACAGACCATCTATGTACCAAGTTTTATTGAAATGTGATTGGAACTAAAAAAAATTATAAATTATTATGCTAATTAGGGAATTAATATAACAGATTTTAACCCCAAACTAATCAGGTTTGTACATTGTCCTAGAGCATCTTTGCACTAAGTTTCATTGAAATGTGATGATTAGTACTTGAGAAATAAGTGTGAAAGCTAAAAATTAATTAATTATGCAAATTAGGTAATTAATATACAAAATTATTTACCCTAAAACTGATCAGGTCTCTGAATAGTCCTAAGATCTATGTACCAAGTTTCATTGCAATGTGATAATTAGTACTTGAAATATCTGTGGAAAAGCTGAAAATTAACTAATTATGCAAATTAGGTAATTAATATGCACAAATATTTATTCCAAAACAATCAATCTCTGCATAGTCCTTGAGTATCTATGTACTAAGTTTCATTGAAATGTAATGCTTACTACTTGAAACATCAAAAGCTGAAAATTAATTAATTATGTAAATTAGGTAATTAATATGCACTGACATTACCCTAAAAACTATCAGGTCTGTGCAGTGTCCTATGACATCTATGTACCAAGTTTCATTGAAATGTGAGGATTAGAACTTGAGATATCAGTGGAAAAACCGAAAATTGATTAATCATTATGCAAATTAGGTAATTAGTAATTAGGTAATTTTTACCAAAAACTAATCAAAACCAAGCATTAGTTCAGAGCATCCATGTACCAAGTTTCATCAAAATCCAATAAGTGGTTCTTTAGATATCAATGGAACAGTCATGGAGCAGCTACAAATTAGCTTATTATCATGCAAATTAGGTAATTAATATGCATGAAATTTTATCAAAACCTAATCAAATTTGCGCATTAGCCCAGAGCATCTATGCACCAAGTTTCATCAAAAACTGATGTATGGTTCTTGAGATATCAGTGGAACAGGCGAACACACACACATACAGACACACTAACCGCAAAGACTCCCATTTTGTGCTTCGCACATGGGAGTCAAAAAGAGTGAATAGCCAGCTGTAATGGTGCCGCCATATGGCATCAGTCACGTGGTTCGTGAAGTAAGAAAAAAGCATCTTGGGGTCATGGGGCTTCCCCTGACCTAGATTCTATCTCTCCGTCATTGGCAGAATCGCTGATTAATGCCTACAGTTCAAAATAGTCATTTTGACTGACCGGAGTCTATGGTGGGTAATTGAACGTAGTGAATTTGATGATTTTTTAGCACAAAAATGGCCACCATTCGGCCATTTTTAATGGGATAGTCAAACCAATATATCTGTATATCTATGACATGATGTATAATGAATATTTAAAATTTGAACATAATCAGTCACAGCAAGTCAGAGATATTGCACTCGAACAAAAATGGCCGTCAATCGGCCATCTTGAATCAGATCGTGGAACAAATTGATGTGCATATGTATAATATCATGTATGATGTATGTGTGAAGTTTGATTGTGATCGGTCCAGACATTTCTAAGATACAGGTCCGCATGCATGCACAGAAGCACGGAGGTCAGAACATAACTGCGTTCGAACGGGGACTAAATATATGACGTATGTATGTAGTATGGTCAAAAAGCAAAATGGCCACCAGTTAGCGATCTTTGATCTGATTATGAAACAAACTGATATGAACATGAATTCCAATAAAAAGTACAAAATGTGTTGTAACAAAATGTTGGAGGGAAAAAAGATCAAATGTCAATGTGAAAACTATGGCAACATGAAAACAGCATACTGTATCAGCAGTGATATTTCACTCTAAAAATTTAACACCTGTGCACATCATTGAAATTGTCATATGCCATGATAAATTGCAGATCATATTAAATATGAAGACAAAAAGGAACAACAAGATACTTACTTTCCAATGTGTTCTCTAAAGATTCACAAATTGAATTTTCACCTTCAACGTCGTCTTTCAGAAATTTATCATGCATTGCTGAAGAGATACATAAATTATGTCATTTTAATTATGAATCAAAGTTAAACTGTAAATAGCTCCCGTGTGATCAGAGCATGTATTATAAAGATATAGGCTTTGCCTAATAAGTTAATGTAACTGCATGTAGGTCAATCCATCAATAAAATTGATCAAGATGTCTGAGAATCTATGACATACTATACTGTATATGGAAACGCATGATTTTGATATGGACAATTTGAAAAACATGCAAGGACACTATACTTGTAAACAAAGGGCACTAATGAGGCACTCTATGAATGAGGTATTTCCAGAGGTCGGGGTTTGTCTCGTCTGCAGTTGAATAATTTTTGCTTTGATTTTCTCATGGGTTTTTTCCCCAATGTGACTTAATTTCACTTGTTTTTTTTTAATTCTTGGTAATTAGTGTCATTAGCGACGGAGTAGTAAAAACCGCAATTAACCTCAGTGCAGCAAATTGGGATAGATCTTCCTGACGCAATGGGCAAATTTCGCTATCTTCGCTGACAAGTAAAATCTGCTAAATTAAACCTACGTGAACATGTAAAGTAACAACAGATTGTTTCCTTGACAGATTCTTGAAATTAAATCATCAAAATAGTACAACTAAAAAGTCTGCACAACATACCTAGACAGATAAATAAAAACATCATAGTTTTAATGTTCGTCCAGACTTTGAGCCCTTGAAAGTAAGTGAACCAGCCCTTACATACGCCAACGATTGAAATTTGTTTAATTGCTATCAAATTATCACTCAAAAAAAATATTTCATTTGTGAGACGTGCTTTTGATACAAACCGAAGATCGCGATTGGCCCTACACAAAACTACCGCCATTTTGTCTTCCTTGTCCTCGTTTGGCAAAAACAAAAAAATAACATATTTACTATTTGTTTAATGAGTGCATTTTTGTTTAAAAATATCAAACAAGAATAAACACTAAGTAAAATAGGAATCAACTGCTTCGTTTTATTTGAGTAAGATGGAAACCATGCGAAAACAAATGTGAAACATTACTGTCTGCTTGAGGAGAAGACACTGGGAGTCGTGTGCAAAAAGATTGTTTACAAATTAGATCACATTGGAAGTGCTTTCGGTCACGTTGTGTAGCTTCAATGCGTAAAATAGAAAATTTATATCCTGAATAAAACTGACAAACTTCCTTGCTGTTGCTATCGAGTGTCTGCCTTATGCATGGATTAAGTGTAGACACAGGGATTCATCTTTCCTTTTCTCTGCTCGTGGTGTTGCAATATCGGTGAAGGTCAGTACTGGGTTGAACCGACAGCCATGGCCACTATATTTTGAATGATCATAAATAATTTTTGAACCCAATAGTAGTGATCACTGTGATTACTATATAAATTGCTTGCAAAGTCTGGAACGATACTGAAAAAAAATCGTTGATTTCCTTCTATATTCATGCTTGAAAGTAGGCCAAAGTATCCGCAGGTGAATACGAGTATCCAGATAATAAGTTAGGATCGATCAATTCACACGAATTGTTCTGTTCTGATTCATCATTGCAAACGGCCCAGCTTGAGGGAAACAGTATCGTGGAAAGAAAGAACAGTATCGGACCCGATACCCTTAAAAGACCTGATGAGAACACTGCAGAATCGCGGGCGAAACGAAAGTTAAGCGGCTATTGTCTAAGCGACGCAGGCAAAATCAGCCATTTTGAATACATGTATATATATAACGTGATGTATAACGAATATATAAAATTTGAATATAATCAGTCAAAGCATTTCAGAGATATGGCTCTAGAAGCCCAATCATTAAAACAAAATGGCCGCCAGTCAGCCATTTTGAGTCCGATCTGAAAAATAAATGATGTGCATCAGGAACCTGTAATGTCTAATATATGTACCAAGTTTGAACGAAATCCATCCAAAAATGACAGAAATGCTTGATATTTGATGATTTTTTAGCACAAAAATGACCACCATTCGGCCATTTTGAATAGGATCGTCAAACCAATATATCTGTTTATCCATGACATTATGTATAATGAATATTTAAAATTTGAATATAATCAGTCAAAACAAGTCTGAGATATGGGTCTAGAAGCCCATTCATTAAAACAAAATGGCCGCCAGACAGCCATTTTGAATCTGATCTGAAAAATAAATGATGTGCATTAGGAACCTGTAATGTCTAATATATGTACCAAGTTTGAACAAAATCCATCCATAAATGCCAGAAATGCTCGATATTTGATGATTTTTTAGCACAAAAATGGCCACCATTTGGCCATTTTGAATAGGATCATCAAACCAATATATCTGTCTATCTATGACATGATGTATAATGAATATTTAAAATTTGAACATATTCAGTGAAAGCAAGTCAGAGATATGGCACGAGAACCACATTCATTGAAACAAAATGGCCGCCAGTCGTCTATTTTGAATCTTATCTGAAAAACAAAATTATTTACCAAGTTTGAACAAAATCCATCTGTAAATAGTCAAGAAATGCTTGATTTTCAAGATTTTTTAACACAAAAATGGCCGCCATTCGGACATCTTGAATCAGATTGTAAAACAAAATGATGTGCATCAAGGTCTTATAATGTCTAATGTATATACTAAATTTGAACAAAATCCATCTGTAAATAGCCAAGAAATGCTTGTATTTTAGGATTTTTTAACACAAAAATGGCCGCCATTCGGCCATCTTGAATCAGATCATGAAACAAATTGACGTGCATATGTATAATATCATGTATGATGACTGTGTGAAGTTTGATTGTGATTGGTCCAGGCATTTCTAAGATTCATTATATTTACTTTCTTGTTTTCTATTGTAAAGTTTTCTCTAAAATGCTCCCTTACATTAAAATTATATTTTTTTATCATTTGATGATTGTGTTTATGCCAAAACAGTGCACAACAAGAATAAAACTGATTTGTGAGTGTGGCTAAGTATGAGGTAGTGACATGAACGGTGGACTTTTTCTTACCAGTTAGTGATTGTTGACAATCCATGAACGCACTCACATTAGCTTTCATGAATGCTAAAGGACCCTCTGATCTCTGTGCTGAAGTACGTTTCAAGTACTGACAACCAGCTTTCAGATCTTCAAAACTAAAACAAAAATGTATTTAAAAAAATTATTAACCAGATAATGAACAAGGTGTACATATATGTTATGTTATGAATTACAATGTAGCAATTTGGATCACTTGTAGTCAAAACAAAAAGGATAACACGAGTAAAAAAAAGTCTATTATAAATGGACAATTGTATTGGTGTGCCTCTCAGACTAATTTTAGCTAAAATTACTTCACATTGAATATTAATTTTTCAATATTGTAAATAGTTTTGATTGTCAAACAAAAAATCCTGTATGCGATTCAGTGGTTTGATGAAAATCTAGATTATGAAAACACAACCAAAGTTATGGAACTACATAATCATAATCAGCTTTTGACAAAATCCTGCAGCTTGTTTTGTCACAATACAAAATTAAAGAAATTATCAAAAAGTTTCTAAATATGCAAGAATTTCTGCAACAAAATGAATTTTTTCATTGCTCCAACAGACTCAATGTTATAAATTCACAAAAACCAGACTTATCCAATCAAATAAGTGCTTTACCTCGATGTTTGATGAGTCTCAAGTAAGAACCTGACAGCGTCAAAATCTTCGGATACCAGATTTGTACTACCTTCAGAGAAGACAATCACAATAGTGTAACTATTAGCAAGAAAATTGTAATAATTAACAAAGGCAATGGTGGATTAACAGTTGTAGTGCTTAGTTAATAGTGGAAATGGTTAGTTAATAGTGGTAATAGTTAACAATCATAATGGTTAGTTAATAGTGGTAATCATTCTGCAGTTCTAGAGTAGTTATTATTAATCATTATTATTAATTACAGTCACCAGTTGACAATTTATCTATGAGTATAATTTACATATTTTGTTATTTATCTAAAACAATTGTGGAAATGTGGGTGTGGGCAAAACAGTTGGTAAAAAGACCTTGTGAAGAACACTTGTTGATGTGAAATTAAAAAAGTTTATTCAACATGTGCAGAGATACTGGAATATCTGGAAACATAAAATGCAACAATATGAGATACACCAGACATTCATTCTGATGTAAGATGTCTTACCTTGAGAAAACATTTCTTGCAAATCTGCTAGAGTAAGTTGACTCCTAAACACAGGGACATAATAATTTAAGTATGTGAAAAATAATATCATTACTGGATTAACTTAACACATCACCTCCTTATATACCATATCTGTTATTCATGGAAAATTTCAGCACGTGATGTATTTATTTTTTTAGTAATACTAGTAACTTGATTTCCATATCACAAGATAATGTTAATTTTGAAAGTCACATACAAAGTATATTTCCTCTCTTAAAATTTTATGTGCATTGCATACATTGATAGGACTTATATCAAACATGGTAGGTCCCTTTGAATGCCATATTCTTTTCTCGCCAAATTTTGTATGTAACATTTTATGCATTCATTATTTGATTTTACTGTAAAACTATGAGGTCTATTGTAATTTGACATTTTATGAGTGAAAAATGAATTTATTTACAGTAATTGCACAAGTTTTGATGATGGTAGATTTGGGAATGACCAAGAAACAGCAACTAAAAGTCAATGGTTAGTGAAATTTAGCCAAATGTACAGTACAGTTCTCGCGGAAGCTTTGGCTTCACTTCAGCTTCACCTTCGCTTCAGCATCGCATCATTATGGCATTGTTATGCTTCAGCATCGCTTCAATGTCGCGACCTTAAAAAGTTAGGCGATTATCGCTTCGCTTCATTGTGGCCTCATTATGGCGACAATGTGGCATCAGCATCGCTTCATCAAACAAAGAAGTACTGTACTCATTTCCCCCAAACCTCTTGACCGCTTCCGCTTTTGACCGGTCAATTTCCGTTTTATTTTCGACCGTGCAACAATTCGGACTACTAAAAATTTTCTGGTTTTCATAGATCACGATTACTAGTTTAGTAACCGTGCATAGATATTGAACAACCGTCAAAAGTTCAAATAATTTTTGTTTTAACTATCTATAATTATATGCATGCAATCTGACCCTTTGACCTAGATTTGGCTGGGATTGAATATTTTATTTT